CTGAGCCAGCTTAGCTGGCTCAGGAATTCTGGGAGTTGAAGTCCACAAGTCATAAAAGAGCCAAGATTGACTACCCCTGCCCTATACCATTATGGACAAATGATTGTCCAATCTCTTCTCAAAAGCCTCCAGTGATGGGCCACCCAGAAGTTCTAGAGGCAAGCTGCTAAACTGATTAATTGTTCTCACTGTCAGGAAATTTCCCAATTCTAGGTTGGATCTAATGATCTTTCATCCATTACTTCTTATCCTGCCTTCAGGACATTAAATAGAGTTGGGATATATTACAGTACAGGTAGTCTTCAACTTATATCTAGTTGTTTTAGTGACTGTTTGAGGTTATGATGCACTCTCCAAACTACCAATGACCTGGTTTCGAAGTTAGAGTTGCTGAAGTCCCGACATGGTCATTGTCCTTATGAAGTGACTGCACGGACACAGCAACCCCCCCCCCCCCATTTCCTCCCCATCCCATCCTGAGTCTCCACAGTCCTTGGGTCTACTCCCAGCCAGTCATTATCCCCCAAAGGAGCCTCAGCTTGGTTCAGAGGCTACCAGCGCACAAGAAGCTATGGCAGTTTTTAGGACTCTGCCTGCTCCTAAACCAGCTCCAGGACCACCCAAACTACCTTTCTGTTTTTCTGCAGCTTCTGAAAGAAGTGCTCAGCCAATGCAAGGGTCAGCTTTCCTACAGAGGCAGTCTCTTCCATAAGGCATCCTGATTCCTTCAGTTTACATTATTTCCCCATTGTTGGTGAGAGTGGTACATTTGTCCAGTCCAAACTCTATTGCAATATTTTGGCTTATATATATGAACAGCATTGAGTAGTGGTTTTACTATTATTTACAACAGTGTGAAATCATAGCTGTCAGTTCTTTAGCTGGTGTTTGCCTTCATATGCATCAAGTTTTTCCCAAACTTGTAATGGCCTTTTTAAATTGACAGATGGTAATTTTGTCAGTGTGCAGATTTTCTAAGTGTCATCCACGTTTTTTGGTATGGCACCCAGCACTGGGACCACTGCTGCCAGTTTAGGCCATAATCTTTCAGCTGTGACTTTCAGATCTTGCTACATTGTCATTTCCAATTCTATGTCTTCTATTCTATCCCCCGGTATTCCTACATCAGTTATCCACGTGTTCTTCTTGTCAACTAGTTAAATCTGGTGTCTTATGAGCTAAGACTTTATCAGTTTGTATCTGAAATCCCACATTATTCTAAATCTGCTCATTTTTTACTTATTTTTCAATTATATGTTCCCACCGATTTTTCATTACTGGCACATGATAATTTTTACAGATGTTCCAGTGAATTATTTTGGTGACTATGTTATATTGTTGCTTGTAGTCAGTTTATGCGACGCTCTTATACATGCTAGATTTATGATTATTTTTTCTGCTTCTTTGCACAACCTGCTCTTTGAATCATTTGATGATTTTTTAAATTCTTCCCTTGATTGCTTTATTGATATTTTATTATCTATAGGTAATTTACAATTAGATTCACTGTCTAAGACAGGTGGAAACATAGTAATTCAAGACATAACCAAGGACCTAAAAATTATTGAGCTAGCCTTTAAGAATAAAGGTAATTCAGAACAGTGTGGATTTTTGTTTTAAATTATTTTTATTATTTATATAGGTGCAGAAACATGTACACAAAGCTCTTGGCATCATGACATTTTTACACACTCGATATGATTATCACTTGCAGGCTTGTATTATTAATACTTCTATCATGGTTACCCAGCAGTGAGTACTTCGGATATAGATGAGACAACAGCAAACAATTTCTATTACCTATAAGATCAGAAGTTTGTTTCTACTACAAGTTTGTGCTTACTCAATAGGCAGAACATTCTGGAAGT